GTGTGTGTGTGTGTGTTTGTGTTTTCTCGCTTCGGCTGCATAAAGAGGAGTGTCCACCATTGCATCTGTGACCTGTTGCATCGCACAGCATGGCATGACCTTTTGAAGCTGTGCGTCTTCTGTGGTTTTTGGCATGGTTCAGTTTATTGACAAGCACCACTTTGGACTACGTTCCCATATGGTGTGCCTGCATTACGCTGTGCCGTGTGATCTTATGCTACCTTCAAAGGCGGTGCATGGAGTTGATTGGTTAAGTCGGAAGTCAGCATCAACCGGATCTTCTTGGCACGGCATTTGACGTGTGGCTTGATTGCGCGAGCTGCAAACCCTCGAAAATCCCGAACAAGACCCTACCATGGGGCCTTCCATCCAAAGCTCTTCTGTCAACGGGCAGATTGTTCTTGGGCTGCCAAGCCTGCAATCTCATCCGAAGGAACAATATGTAGGGTTGTGGGAGTAGGGCTTCAGGTTTAGGATTTAGGGTGTGACAGCCACGAATGTGCTTGCAGCCACCACCTTGGCACCTGGAGGCTGCTAATTCATCCAAAGAAAAGAAGCGAGTGCCTGCCTGGGCCACGCTGGGGCTGGCCACCTGCGATCACGCACAGCTCTCAGATTTATGATTTTTAGTCTCCAGAGATTAGACTCGACAGCACGGGAAGTGTGGCGAGTGCACGACTGGCATGAGGGGCACACGGTGTGTCTCAGTATGAAGAAAAACAGGCAAGTGTGCTTTATACTAAGCGGCTTGACAGGAACCAGGAAATACCTCTCAGCCCAGGTTGGCTAATCAGAGCACGACCAACAAAACTAGTGACAGAATCACCACCAGTAGTGCGAATAGACGGCACGAGGATAATAGAACCGAATGCGAGTCGAGGCAACGATGATACACCGAGCATCTGGATGATATGGCTGATACGGACCACGTACTATTGCTTGACACAGGGTGAACCACATGAGCCATGTTCAACCTTACACAATCATCACTGAAGCATCACATTTCGCATTTCGCTGCCTGTGATCACATCAGCAATGGCACAAATGTTCAATGTGTTCATCATCTTATTCATGTAAGCCGTCAAAATCTTAACAGTGTACATGCGTAAACTTAACCTTGAGAAAATGCGCGAGCTATTGAGCTATTTCATACATATGTTCAGCCATTGCGGCAATAAGGGAGTTTTGACAAGGTCCATCATACTTTTGATGTGAGGTTGCTCCTTGCTCCTAAACCCTAAACCCTGAAATCCCAAACCCTCAACCCTAACCCTAGACCCAAAAACCCTTAAAGCCAAGACTGCTGCACCTGGACGGCTGCCTCGCCGGGCGTTCCACCTCGAGGTAATCTCAGATCTCTCTGTGCTAAGCCGAAACTTGAGCTTTGCGACGTCGTACTTGGAGGTTCATGGGTAGTTATAAGTAGGGTTATCCGCCGACCCCGCTTTCGGGGCGGCGCCCGCGATTCCCCCGAAGGTTTCCTCCTGCATGGACACCCACTGCTAAGGCTGCTAGCCCCTGCTTATTCCGCTTAACGTGCCCGCGCCTCCCCGCACCCACACCACCCCCACCACCCCC